ATATCTTTGAAAAACGTTTCACTAACTATATAAAATTCTTTAAGAACAATCCAAAGAATTTTATATAGATAGTGAAACGTTTTTCAAAGATATCTTGGCATTCACAAGGCCGATTTGGATGATTTAACTACTATTAAATTCGTCTCGATGAGCTCTACAACTTTAATTAGAGACTCAAAGATGATTAACTTAATACGAAAAAAAGTTTTCTTTGGACAATCACTAGAAAATTTCTACTTTCGCACCTATAGTAATTTATATATAAAACCACGTCACGTTTCACTATGATCATTCTTCAGTTGACTGGAGAATCGTCAATTAAATGAATTTTGGTTGGACTTAGTGTTGTTAGTCAAAATAATGTAAACATTTAAACATTAGACAAATACTATTATTTTTTTAAAAATTACTATTAAAAAATTAATTTAGACATTTAAACATTTAGATAATTTAATTTAGGCAAATTTTGACATTAGCAAAAATAATTTCGACTAACAATCTTCTGATTTTGTCAAATATAGCATTAAACTATATTTGATTACCTATTTCAAGCTGCAGTGTCTTTCATTATTGAATTTATAAGCGAAATTTTGAGATATTTACATTTTTTTAAAAAATAAACAAAAAAAGCAAAATTTTATATTACACCTAATCTTAAATTTTGATTGGCTATTTTAACAAGTTTGTGTAACATGTGTTTAACACCTATGGTGCATTTTAGTAAACATGGTAATTGAATTATCTAAAATAATTTTTTAGTATATATTTTTAATTACCTATTTTATGAAGACCGGTACGAACTGGTCTCAGAACCGGGGACCAGTTAAAAGACTTCCAGGACTGATCCATCCCTATTCAAACAATAAATTCCTGAATTGTACAGGAATTTGTTATTATAGATCGGAGTGCCAATAATTTTTTTAGAGTTCAATCTTAACAGCAATTCATTTAAAATAAAATATAAATTTATTTTATATAAGGATTAAAATGTTATTACGTATCAATCAGGTTAGTTAAATGAAAATATTGTACAAATAAATTATGTGATATTAAAATAAATTTGAACAAAGATTTGTTATATTGTTAGGAATCCATTTGACTAACACTATTCCGATGCCACCTATATAACTTTATACAAATAATATTGTGTTCTTTACAAATAAATAATGGAAAGTGATAAATAAGAAAAATAGAAAATAAGGTGATAAGACTTTATTTTATCAACGCTCCCATATCACAAATATGGCAACAATTTAATCCGATGTATCAAATTTGCACCAAACCTAATCGTAATGGAAACAAATCTTTTACATTATGGCATAAAACTAATTATTGCTCAATTTCCTTGTAAGTGATATTATGTTAAACTTACCTCGATACTAACTAGAAGCAACAACAACAGCAACAAAATTCTTTAAAACTTCCTCCTCCGCGAGTTTTACGAAGATGTTGAGGAATATTTTGCTCGGAATTTTTGTCTTGTTCATTAGTTTGAGTGGCTGATGGATTAGGCGTCATGTTATTTAACGCTGTCGGCTCTACTGTAATTGTTTGGGTGCTAGAGGTTTGTTCTTCTAAAGTAGTTACTTCCGGCATGGCGAATGGTTTTGATATAAATTCAGCAGAAAAAGCAGACTTTTCGCTTAAAAATAATGTTGAAATAATCGATGGCTATATATATACTGTTTATTGTACCAAAAAAAAATAAGATCTACTTTCCCTTCGGCATAGAAAAGCAATGCAACGGTTACTGTAAATTGCACAAAGTTATACTAAAAAAAAAATCATTGAGATGAATAATAATACCAAATTTTTTTCTTATGCCAGTGCATAAAATACGTACGTACGTAACTCTAATACAGTATTAATGTTTTTATAAGAACGCTGACCACTGATAGCTGAGCAGCTAGAGAAGATCTAATTATGAAATACTACGATTCAACGTACGTACGTACGTACATGCAAAGAAATTTTAATTCAGGAAACTCATAGTCGTCTTATAATTGATAATTTAGGAATTTATAAACATAAAACCGATGATCGAGTAAATTTATAGTCATATATTAAAACCTTATCAGCTTATCGTTATTGAAGCTGATAATCTAGCCATTCTTAAATCTCATTTGTCTCACGAAAGAATTCTTCTAATTATATCGCCGTAGGTATATGGTATAATAAGGTATTAAAATGGTTTACATTTTAATATAACCTACAATTTTTCACGATGTATTTTTAACTACGTATGTGCTATGTTTACACATTGGGTATATTAATAGCAACTACGTATTCAGTAACACGCGTAAATACAAGCTGTTAATTACTACGTATATATAATTACTATTGCTTTTTTTCCCGATTCTTCATTTTTATTTAATTCGGTATTATTAAACTATTAACTTTTGAGACAAATATTGAAGGATTGTGTTCCGAATTTATCTTTGTTAATTGAGCTAGGGTGGAAGGGGTGCGGAGTGGGAGACTTTTCCATAATTTTACCAAATTTCACCAATTCACCAATATTGATGAAATTATTTCATCAGTCTAGTTTAAGTATACCAGTATCTTTAGTTTTAAATTTAGGTGATGTCTGGCAATAACAATAATAAATCTTGATTCAGTTTACCACTACCCTTTGCAGAAATTTTAATTAATTGATAATTCGCGAAAAAAGGGAATTTAAAAATAGGTTTTTATAATAATTTATATATAAACATATATATAAACAACAATCATTATTCCTGATTATAAAAATAAAATTTTTATTAAGTTAGCCTCTTGTAATCCTTTAATAAAGTAGTAGTTTTGCAATCCTAATGATATTATGATTAGTAAAATTGGGTTAAAAGTTTTTAATATATCAAATTTTTTTAAAAAATGATTTTGTCTTTAGGGCATTATTTTTTGGTACACCCTGCACTCGGTGCACCCCCTCTTAATATCTCAAAATTTTACTAGGATAATCTCTGTAGTGTAATTAATAAAAAAATATTCTCTGTAAAGATTTTACTTTAACCCAACCTTAACTCTAACCCTAACCCTAACTCTAATTTAATTCTTATTTACATTAATTTTGCTATAGAAATCACCAAGTGCTCCCACACCAAATAAATTTATTTTTGTCTTTATTAATAATTTTATTGAAATTTATTATAGATTTTTCTAGCCAAATTTAATTTTTACAAATTTTATACAAAAATAAAACAAATTATAGACAAAAACTATCTAATTTATTTGCAACCTAAATCTATTAAAGTAGTTTAAACATATTTAGATTTGATAATATAAAATACAGTCAAACCCCTCTATAGTTACACTTTTGAGATACAAAAAGCCGTGATTATAAAGAGGTGTAACTAATATAGAGGTATTTTCTATATAGTTCTAAATAATTGGTAAAAATAAAATTATAATTATATTAATTTGTGACTATAGAGAAGGTGATTATAGAGGAGTTTGACTGTATAAGTTAATATATTATATTTTATTTAATTATTTTTTACAAAAAATATTTTCTTATTGGTTTTATTAACTCTTCTTAACATTTTTTTTTTACTTAGGCAAAGTTATATCAGTGACTTTGTTTATTCAAGTTATCATCTTATAAAAGATTTAAACAATAAAGTTATGGTCCTGATATTCTATAGCTACTTTATAACTAACCAATAGTTATTAGAGTATTTATAGGTGACCTGTTGTACCAGTAAGATACATTAATTAAGATAATACTTTAACTGGAGAGCTTGTCTAACTACTGCTCTACAATAGAATCTTATCAATCTGATAACATCTTCTTGTAGAGAAATAAAAGAAAAGAAAAATTTTTTAAAAAAAACACAGAAGTATAGAAGAATATATTAAAAATATCAATAAAAAATGAATAGAATAAAAAAAAGATGAAAAAAACTAAACTAAATATGAGATTTTTATCTACACCAAATAGTTATAATTATAAGCCTGTGTTGGGCTTTGTAAAAATTATATACTACTATTTAAACTAAGCTCTACTCTAATTTAAATAATTAGCATATTTAAGATAAGAAAAAAAACTTTACAGAGTAAAAACAAATAGCTTTTTTGACATCAGCAGTATAGAGAGGTTGGAAAAATCAGAAATTTGCACTGTTAGTCTCAGAGCATTGTTTGTTCAGATTGTTACCTTCAAGACACATCTTCTATATATCCAGTTTTATATATATCTATATATTTATTATAACAAATAAAAAATAAACAATGCTGATTGATTTGGTAAGTAAATAATATGTTAATCTTTTAGAGGAGGTAAGCTAAGTTATCAATTTTTTTTATAAAATTTTTTCTAAAAAAAAGTGAAGGGTCAATAAAAGTATGTGAGATTTTCTATAAATTTTACAGTTGTATAGGTAATTCTTCAAGCTTCTACTATCACAGCAAGTACTTTTTAACTACTACTTTTTTTACAGAATATCTTTCTGGTTTAGATGCCAAACATCTTGAGGAGTTTGCAACCAAGAAGCTTAACCCAAAAAAAACTATCTAAATTATATTCACATCTTGGTGTTTTATATCTTTTAAGTTTTATTGACAACAACCTACTCTAAAGCAAAATCAGTTCTCAGAATATCCTTCTGGTTTAAATACTAAATATCTTAGAGAGTCCACTCAAAATCAGCAAAAATAAAGTTTAACTCTAAAAAAAACTATCTAAATTATGTTTACTTCTCGATATTTCATATTTTAGGCTTCATCAATACTCTCCTTAACATTACTTGTACTAGTTTTTTATAAATTGCTATAAAAATTCACTGGAGAAAAGAATAAGTTTTTAGTAAAAGAACAAAAATCAACTGTTTGGTCTTAAAGACTCTTTTATATATTTAATATAAAAACTAAAAGCATTACTATATAACAGATAAGATAATTGGCAAAAAAAGTGAGCTTTTATACAGAAAATTTTAATAAAATGAAACTTTTGCTGATAAAATTTATTAGAAGATTTAAAAAAGAAAGTAAATAAGTAGTCAATACACTTACTATAAAAAAAATTCAATATATCTACTAATTATAAACTCTTTTTAATATTTTACTCTTAGAGTGTAACAACTTAGAGTAGTAGTAAATTTGTTACCCCAAGTAGCAGGTCTAGAGTTTGAATTTCACTAAAGGTATTTTTAAAAAAATAGACCTATATACTAGCAATATTTATTTGATAATTAGTTGAATATATTACCTGTAATCTTGGTACTATAATTTTGAAATAAAAGCTCTTAAATAATTTAAATCTAAGAAACCAGAATAATTAAAACCTATTTGGCAAGATCTAACTAAATAAATAATGAAAATCTTTGATGATATTGCAGAAAGCCAGAACTGGAGATTTAAGAACTGAATGAAAATCTTGAAGCAAAAAGAGTCTACTAACCTAACCATCAGAGTTATACTAAAAAAAGGTCCTATGCTACAGAATTAGAAACCAAAAGAAGTAAAACCAGAAAGTACTTAAAGCCTAAATACAACAATCTATCTGAGCTAACTGGTTTAGTAGTTTAAAAGAGATCAGTATAAGAACTAATTTAATGTAGATATTAGAATTAAAACAAACTTTGTAAGAGTATGAATAATAGAATTGTGTGATTTAATAGTTAGCTCTAACTGTTAATAATAGTTTTAGCTGCTATAAAAGATATTCAAAGCCTAATCTGAAAATGTATAGAATATAAAAAGATTAGAGGAATATATACTAGATCTCCTCTAGACTAACTCAGTAGTATAAAAACTTTATTGAGTTATCTATAAAATTAGAGAACATGTTAATCTAAGTAGTCTTTAATTGAAGCAGTATGAGGTTATAAACCAGTGTAATTGTGATAATAATGCAGGATAAGGAACATCAGAAAGTTTAAATAGATAAACTTCTAGTTAGATTAGAATCTGACATTTATTAGATAATATTTTAGAGAGTAGGTATAAAGCCAAACCTTATCTTAATATAATACTAAAATTTAATTAGTTAATAAAAATATTATCTAGGAGGAGAGGTAGAGCTCTATAGTAAATAAATATTAAATAATAAATATCAAAGCCCTTACAAATACAATATATAGTGTAGAATCTTTAAACAGACTACTTAAATAAAAACTAAAAGTTGCACATATAACTAAATATACTTTTATTAACCAAGAATGTACTACTAAATATCTAAAAAAATTCATCTGCTTGTAATATTACAAAGGTAAAAAAAAAATCTTACTTATTGTACTTTATAAAATTTTACTAAAAAGTAAAAAAAAATTAGTTTATTTTTATTAATGAATTAATATTAATAATTAATATTAATATAATAAAAACAAAAAAAAGCTCAATATTGCATTTTTATTATTAATTTAATTTTTGTTTAGATTTTTTTTAATTTGGCAGTTCTTACTACTGTTTTTTATTAATATTAGATTTTTCAACAAATTTATATATATATTTCTATCTATAATTTTAGCTAATCTATTTAAACAAATATATCAGCAAAATTTAAATACAAAAAAGTATAGTAATTTAGTGTTGTTAGTAAATTGTTGCACCTCCAAGTAGCAGGATAAAAGCTTGAATCCCACTGACAATAAAATTCA